GACTCGTTACTGATATACGTGGAGAGTATTACTGGGACAGGACATCATCTAACCGTAGCGGGTTCTGATACTGGATAAACGGACTTGTTACTGATATGCGTGGAGGGTATTACTGGGACAGGACATCATCTAACCGTAGAGAGAGATATTTCTGGCAGACTGCAGTAAAGCTATATACAGCCTTTCGCTCGTCGTATAATACAAATCAATAGGAGCTACAGATCAAACGAGTTATGTGCAATTAAGCTAATTGTCTGATGAATAAATAATGAGTGGATGCGGAGGGCTGCTCCGTTTGAAGTGGAGAGCGTTTTCCATCTTTCCATAGATCGGAATCAGATGTGTCCTCCGTATAGGGTTCACGCTTTGCGTTTCCAGTTTGTGAACGTTGTGATGACGGGGAAATCCCAGTGTCCGAGATAAACTGGACAAAGCCCAGCAGGCGGTATAACCATCACTTTTTTATCATAATAATTATATGTCACTTCTGTGCAGCATTAATCAATACAATGGAAGTGTGAATCCCAGGAGATCAAAATCCATTTCAAATTCAGTTATGTTTTCAGTTCAACTGTATGGGACTAAAATGTGGAACTCACATTGAATTCACGATGACAATGTGCATCTCACAGAATAACCCTGAAGGACGACGAGGCCTATAATAATTTATAGATAATTTATAGATGTGAATATTCATCTACCATAGAGCAGCCCTGTGGTCGCTTTGAGTGGATTTGTGCTTTTTTTTGGTTTAGTGATGGCCAGACTCTGTGTTTGCGTTTATTGAGTCACTGTATTTATGGAGCCCCTCACATAATAACTGCGCCAGAGAATGCGTTACTCCTCCGATTCCCAACATGAAGACAGACGTCCCAAAGCCTCTTTATTTAGCTTCACAATAGCCTTTCACATGAACACCTGCCATCCGTGAGCAGGCAGCCAGGACTGACGATGGATTTATACTGTCTGCATGTTTACTGTCTAGCTATCCCTCGTCATCAGGGGTTTACTCGCTAAAGTGAGATTTTAGGAGAATTAATTAACCCCCGAACTCCCAACCCAATATCTGAAAAGAATAAAGCGTATTATTATTTATAAAATGCCAACACATTCCACAGCGCTGTACAACAGATCAAGTAACAAACAAGTAGTTGCAACAACACAAGTCAGACGTTCAGGAACAGAACAATATGTTGCAACAAGCTCTATTTTCCCTTCCCTTTTCTCTACACTCCGTTCACACCCGCGTTTAAAGAAATCTTTTAACTAGCTTGGTAATGAATGGGTTAATTCACCGTACCCTAATAAACGTGTTTATTTACGCTTTAGCCACTTGGAAACTCGTCTGTCTGTTTTGTCCAAATATTTTCGAGACGTTTGTCAGGTCAGCACAGACAGTGGGCGATTTAGTGAACATACCCCAAATCGTTGCAGAGTCCACTTCATACGTCTGACGATCTGTTAGTCATTCACACGTGGGAGATGTACGGTTACACGTGTGAGTTTATTTCCCCCCTATTGTCGGAGCCTGCTAATAATTTGTCAGAGAGCTGATTGGGAACCTGTGAATCATAGGGCGTCAGTCCCATTGTTCATCCCCGAATGTAGTTTAAAGATTAAACATACGAGGGACAATGAGCAGAATAATAATGAAGGAAGGTTATATCATTTCCTCTGAACGCAACTGGAACTTTGAGATCACTCTCGGCTTCACCTCATACTAAATCAAACTATATCGTAAACTTACTTTGCCATATTTGGAACTACGAGACACGTCCAGCCATTGGCCAATAGCCATCATCACGAGAGCGGATTGGATGAAGCATCTTCTGATACTATGACCAAATTATGCCTATGTGATCTTACTGCGCACATGGGAGAAGATCGATATCTACACTTTACTCCAATTGGAGTTAACAGAAACAGAAGTTAAATAATTCAATAAGAAACAAATTTATATATATAATCTGGGTAATCTTTTCAATTACAATGTTCGTGAAATCGACTAAATTATGTAATACACTTCCGATTAACTGTATCCGATGATTTCAACATTTTCGGCTAATTTTTTAGAAGAAACCAAATTGTTCCAAAGCAGACCCGCACATTATGGGTTAATCACAGAGCGTGCCTCCTAATTGCAATTCTGGATCAAATCTGAGGCTTTTACAATTTGAAGCTAAATTCTCATTTTACAATAACTGCTATTTTTGTTAATAATTGAATATGAATAGATCAGGGCTCAAAATGTCAAGTACCATGCTGCTAGCCAGATGCAAAAGTTACTTGCCACTTCAAACCTAAGTGAATTTCTACGCAACAGGCCTGTGTTTTCACTCGCCAGTGGCTAGTGGAAAGTGGAAGCTTTGAGCCCTGATTAGAGCGCAAGCTTCTAAGGTTCATTTTATTTGAGAAGATAAAAGACATATACACATTGAGAGCCTCATCCGTTCTTTTGTGATTGGTATCTCATAGGGTATCTATGATATTATGTTTATATATTTATCTATAAAGCTTACCTTTGTTCCAGAAACACAAAATCTTGCCTTTGTCTTCAATTAAACCATTTAACTGTTAAGTCCTCAATTTATCCTAATTCCTTCTATGAAGAAGTAACGCCCTGTACAACTGCATTACCTTAGCTAAACGCTAAATACAAAGTCTCTCCTGCAAGATTATGACTTTAACCCACACAGTGCCATACAAGCTGCGGCAGAATGCGTACTGTCTGAGTGCGCATGGGCTAATACAGTACACATGGAGCAGCTAGACAATGGAGTCGTCCTGGATGCCATGACGCCAAAAACATCAATCTCGATTACTGCACTGAAGATACGAGGACGACTTCCAGAGAGCTGACATTTTCATTTTAAAGGTATAATGGGACACTCCATTAACAAATACAAAACAATAAATTATCAGCATTTACTGGACATACCCTCTAATGAAAGCAATAAAACCATACATGCATTTAATTCTGGATTTTTTTCATTGGGGTTATATCTAACAACAGCTTCAAAACCTGCAGATCTCTTGTCTGCAGCCTTTATAAGCCCTCCCCTTCTAACCCCGCCCAGACTTTCTGTGTCTGTCCAATCACACACGTTTCCAATGCAGCTCAATCAGATTTCTTTACAAGACAGGTGCTCTGTGCAATTGCTGCCACTGCCAGAAACTGGACCGGGTGTCTGATTGACAGCCAGGGGGGTGTGACCAGATTAATTTATAAAAATGCCAATTTCTATTGAAATCTACAGTTTACGTAAAATGAGAAAAGCAGACACATTCTTCACACATAATCCACTTCCACACCTAAACTGCCCCAGGTGCTTGTAGTGTCCCTTTAATTGTCTTAGCGTTTGTTCTGCGCCTGCCAATGTTTCCTGCAATGCTTTTGTAATATTTCATTGCTATCCTGCAGCTGCTGATTTGATCTGATAATATGTGTAAACATACATTTAACTTGTGCCTCCCCCACGATTCTCAATAATAACTTTTTTTAAAGTTAAGTTTACGTTATTAGATATTAAAAATTCATTCTAACTCATTGTTAGCAGTTTTGTTTTTATGTTGTTGTTCAAACACACACAAAAATAAAATTATGCAAGTTTGCTCAATTTTTACTTTTATTTCTTCATCCTTTATAGAAATATTGGGGAAATAAAAAGTTTTAGCCGGTATACCTTATCTTGCAATATTTCACACAGGGTCTGAAATATTAATATACAACCAAAAATACAAGTCTCACATACAGTGGGTGTGAGTGATAACAATAAATACATCCAAATGTTAAAGGGACGCTGTAGGCACCCAGACCACTTCAGCTCATTGAAGAGGTCTGGATGCCAACTCCCATCACCCTTAATCTTGAGCATGTAATTATTGCCATTTTAATAAATGGCAATAATTACCTGTGAGGGTTAACTCCTCCTCTACCAGACAACCACTAGAGGGACTTCCGGGTGGATAGGAGACATGCTGTGCATGAGGACTTCCCGCGTCACCAGAATCCCCATAAGAAATCATTAAATAATGCTTTTCTATGGGGAAATCCTAAAGCGAGCGTGGTTATTGGGGCACATGCGCATTAGGTCTCCCCAGCCGGCTGACGTTATTAACCCCTTCTGCACCATGAAGGGAAGGCCTTGAAAGAGGGGGAAGCTATAGTGCCAGGAAAACAAGTTTGCCTTTAAAATACCCTGGTTATAAATATTTGTAAGGCACTCCTAACAGTACAGCTTACTGAAAATGGCAAAGGAATGTAAAATTGCATACAGTAAATAGTTACATCACATGTTTCTAAAATGAAAGTATTTAAAACATTTTAAAGTATTCTTCCTTGATATCTGCTAATGTAATGCGAAGAAGTAAATGAGGGACATTATTCCCTGTCCCTACCCATATAGGAATGATGTGGTCATGGAGTTCCCTTCACTGTTTAGAAGGGGGAGTGGGTCATCGTTTTCATGTATGTACGTAGTGGGCATTGGATAACATTCCCCTCATCCCCCCATAAAAAACCATAACTTACCCCTTCAAATAACTACAGACAACTTCTTGGGAAAACAGGCCACATCATTTATTAACATCACCAAATACGGTATAACTCCTTAAACATATAACATAATAATAAATTAATAAATTAACATAAACACTTTTTATACAGTAATCAAGAAACGGTCCTTGACAATCTAACTTCCCCAAGGCTCTCACCTCCCCCCCTCGGCATAATAAAACCTCTTCCTTTTCAGGGCTCCCCACCAACCGGTTTTCCGCTCAGTGGGGCCCAACCATAATGCTCCCCACCGGTCGACTTACAACCCAGTGGGGACACGTCCAATCTGGTACCTCCTCCAGGTTCACCATAAGAGACAGGGGGAGGATGAGACCTGGCCATTATCCCCCTTTTCATCTAATCTTCAATCCCTTATTTGGCAAGGACATGCCCCCGCCTCACTGTGACAACCACCCAGGCCCAAAGCAGCAAAGGGAGGGTGGGTGGGAAACTTGTTGCTGGCCCGGCTCCTAAGTGGCACTGAGGTCAGTCTGATCTGTCACCACCCACTTCCTCACATCTCACACTCCCACACGTAGCACATAGCCAATCATGCACCATCCATCCCACACTCATACATGTAGCATATAGCCAATCATGCATCATCCATCCCACACTCATACATGTAGCACATAGCCAATCATGCACCATCCATCCCACACTCATACATGTATAATATAGCCAATCATGCATCATCCATCCCACACTCATACATGTGCCTCTGTCCGCTAAGCTGCGCACTCTCCCTGGGGCCTCATTGTTTGCAGACATTAAAAGGGTGGAATGAGATCCTGACAGAGACGTGTGTTTCTTTACAAGCTGATACTCATTTCTGGAGGGTTAACGAAGGCAAGTGAGGCCTTACGTGTGTACAGGGTTTTGGAAGTGAAGGGATAAGGGCCATCTTTGGCCATCAGTTTTCTAATTTGCCTATTTAATGGTAATGTAGCGGAGCTGTAATATTAAAATAAATATCTCCTCTGGTAGACTTGTAGAACATCCAAGTGAAGCTTAGTTTACAAATACAATTCCAATTCCCCAATAAACGGACGATACACAGTTTTGGCAGTCAACTGATTTTTATTCAGTCACAGCTGGCTTTTATGCAACTCCCCATGCAAAGGGTTTCTTTAATTACATTCCTGGGGTTTTCCCCTGGTGGACCTTGTTGGGGACAGGGGACAAGGCAACATTTCCAAGACTCCTCCTCTGTACCTGGGAGATAATTGAGTAAGGACAACTCTTCAATTACATTTTCTCCCAAGTACAGAAAATATGCAATATTTCAAACAAGCATAACATACATTAATATTAGTCAGAACTCTACGAATAGCAGTGATCTGAGCGCCCACTCTGTCGAAATATCACTCAGATCAGTTCGGTAGAATAGGAACGTCATTCGAGTGAAGTTTAGACCGGTCAACCACGAGGTGAAACCCCAAAATAGTTCCAGATGGTTTTAGGTTTAGACCGGTCTTCCTTCAGGAGTATATAACTTTAAAATGACGAATGAAACTGTTCGTGTAACAGGGAGCTTGTGTGCCCTATTGTTGGTAGTGTTTTTCCTACGAATGCCGCTCTGGATACGTGAAGGGGAACGAACATACGAATTGATGGAAGTTCAGCGGTGTTGGCGACATCGAGTGTCCGATTCTAATTCCATGCACTCAGCAACCAAACACCGCTGTCTGTTCGTGAACTAAGATGGCTGCCGCCACCTGTTTGGTCATACAAACGATGGCCACCCCGTCAATTGGAGGCACACGACTCCCTTGGGTGGTCTCACTGTTCGGTAGTTGGTTCGACTGACGAACAATATGCCTTTAGTTTATTCGGGAACCCCAAATTGTCGAACGAACTCAGTCTTGCATATGAATAGGTGGCTAGTTTTGCCACAGGTAATTTATTAAATATTTATTTGTTACTATCCTTGCTGCTACTTGGCAGTTGAAGATGATGGATGTGGATAGTAGTGGTTGGTAAAGTGACAGTTGGACAGTGAAGGCTCCGTATTGCTACCTGGCAGTTGATAGCAGAGGTGGATAGTAGTGGTTGGTAAAGTGTCAGTTGGACAGTGAAGGCTCCGTATTGCTACCTGGCAGTTGATAGCAGAGGTGGATAGTAGTGGCTGGTAAAGTGACTGTTGGACAGTGGAGGCTCTGTGTTGCTATCTGGCAGTTGATGATGATGGATGTGGATAGTAGTGGTTGGTAAAGTGTTAGTTGGACAGTGGAGGCTCTGTGTTGCTACCTGGCAGTTGATGGTAGTGGAGGTGGATAGTAGTGGTTGGTAAAGTGTCAATTGGACAGTGGAGGCTCTGTGTTGCTATCTGGCAGTTGATGATGGTGGAGGTGGATAGTAGTGGCTGGTAAAGTGACAGTTGGACAGTGGAGGCTCTGTGTTGCTATCTGGCAGTTGATGATGATGGATGTGGATAGTAGAGGTTGGTAAAGTGTTAGTTGGACAGTGGAGGCTCTGTGTTGCTACCTGGCAGTTGATGGTAGTGGAGGTGGATAGTAGTGGTTGGTAAAGTGACAGTTGGACAGTGGATGCTCCGTGTTGCTATCTGGCAGTTGATGGTAGTGGAGGTGGATAGTAGTGGCTGATAAAGTGTCAGTTGGACAGTGAAGGCTCCGTATTGCCACCTGGCAGTTGATAGCAGAGGTGGATAGTAGTGGCTGGTAAAGTGACAGTTGGACAGTGGAGGCTCTGTGTTGCTATCTGGCAGTTGATGATGATGGAGGTGGATAGTAGTGGTTGGTAAAGTGTTAGTTGGACAGTGGAGGCTCTGTGTTGCTATCTGGGAGTTGATGGTAGTGGAGGTGGATAGTAGTGGCTGGTAAAGTGTCAGTTGGCCAGTGAAGGCTCCGTATTGCTACCTGGCAGTTGATGATAGCAGAGGTGGATAGTAGTGGCTGGTAAAGTGACAGTTGGACAGTGAAGGCTCTGTGTTGCTATCTGGCAGTTGATGATAGTGGATAGTAGTGGCTGGTAAAGTGACAGTTAGACAATGGAGGCTCCGTACCTATTCCTGGCAGTTGAAGATGGTGGAGGTGGATAGTAATAGCTGGTAAAGTGACAGTTGGACAGTGAAGGCTCCGTGTTGCTATCTGGTAGTTGATGATAGTGGAGGTGGATGGTAGTGGTTGGTAGAGTGTTAGTTGGACAGTGGAGGCTCTGTGTTGCTATCTGGCAGTAGATGGTAGCAGAGGTGGATAGTAATGTCTGGTAAAGTGTTAGTTGGACAGTAGCTCCGTGTTGCTATCTGGCAGCAGATGGTAGCGGAGGTGGATAGTAATTTCTGGTAAAGTGACAGTTGGACAGTAGCTCCATGTTGCTATCTGGCAGTTGATGACACTGGGCCTGGGCTGTAGTAGTTGGACAGTAGCTCCATGTTGCTATCTGGCAGTTGATGATAGTGGAGGTGGATAGTAGTGGTCGGTAAAGTGACAGTTGGACAGTGGAGGCTCTGTGTTGCTATCTGGCAGTTGAAGATAGTGGAGGTGGATAGTAATGTCTGGTAAAGTGTTAGTTGGACAGTGGAGGCTCTGTGTTGCTATCTGGCAGTTGATGATAGTGGAGGTGGATAGTAGTGGTCGGTAAAGTGACAGTTGGACAGTGGAGGCTCCGTGTTGCTATCTGGCAGTTGATGATAGTGGAGGTGGATAGTAGTGGTCGGTAAAGTGACAGTTGGACAGTGAAGGCTCCTTGTTGCTATCTGGTAGTTAATGATAGTGGAGGTGGATGGTAGTGGTTGGTAGAGTGTTAGTTGGACAGTGGAGGCTCTGTGTTGCTATCTGGCAGTAGATGGTAGCAGAGGTGGATAGTAATGTCTGGTAAAGTGTTAGTTGGACAGTAGCTCCGTGTTGCTATCTGGCAGCAGATGGTAGCGGAGGTGGATAGTAATGTCTGGTAAAGTGACAGTTGGACAGTAGCTCCATGTTGCTATCTGGCAGTTGATGACACTGGGCCTGGGCTGTAGTAGTTGGACAGTAGCTCCATGTTGCTATCTGGGCTGTAGTAGTTGGACAGTAGCTCCATGTTGCTATCTGGCAGTTGATGATAGTGGAGGTGGATAGTAGTGGTCGGTAAAGTGTTAGTTGGACAGTGGATGCTCCGTGTTGCTATCTGGCAGTTGATGATAGTGGAGGTGGATAGTAATGTCTGGTAAAGTGTTAGTTGGACAGTGAATGCTCCGTGTTGCTATCTGAGCAGTAGTAGTTGGACAGTGTTTTTTCTCGTTGCTCATGAAACAGTTTAAAATTTTTACGAAATTTTTGCAGAGTCTGGTTAGCATCCCCCTTTATCGATTACATATAAAAATTAGTCACATCTTTGATGTTTGTGCGGACAGTTTAATATCATTTAATATACAGTAGTTCAGTAAATGCTGTTTCATCCTCAATGTACATGAAATCTGCTTTGAACAATTTGCTCTTTAGAGAAGCTTATTCGAGGTTCTTTAACCCCTGAGCTGATTTCACAGGGCTTTCACGCTATCACCAAAGTTATCACCGGCCAAATCCTCATTATAGAGCTTTAATTCAGGTTTAACATGTCTATCCACCCTCAATGCTGCATCTTAAAGGGACAATAAGGCAACCAAACCACTTCAGCTAATTGGTGTTCAGATAAGGTAAGTAAATAAAGTGTTTTTAACCTTTTATTTACCTGGGGAGGGGGGCACGAGGGAGAGGTAGGCAGAAGGAGCTATAGTGCCAGGAATATCCCCTTAACACTGTCCCATCTATTGTCTGCAAATCTTTGTCTGTCCATCCGCCCGCATCTGCCAACCTGGTTACCCGCTGCCACCATGTTTTCATGGCATTACCAGCCAGCATGGCGGTGAACAAACCATGTGCACCCATAAATGTTCCATGATGGAGACGCCACAACAGCCTGTCTTTTCCTCTCGAGTTGCTCCTGAGTGTTTTCGAGGTGTCGTGGTTTTTACTTTGGCTTTGTATCTTTTTATGTTGATTCCGGAAATTGTTTCCGTGGTGGGTCTATACATCACGTGTCGTGTTGGTATCACGGCTATAGCGGCCGTTTAGGTTACATTATCATTGTCTTACAGGCACTCCGTTTTGCCTCCATTCAGGAATTTTTTTAAAGAAACACACACAGCACTATCACAATTACACCCTATTGCAGTGGTTATGGTGGAAGGAATGCGCTGGCACCTTCCTAGGTAAGTAGCGGATGGTTTAAGAACTTACTTGCATCCTCCGGTAAATTAGAAATGAAAAGCTGTTAGTAAGTGATAAATTATACAGTCGATTAAAAAATTACATGCGTGCAGCTTGTGCCCGGTGAGGGAATTCTGCGATTATTTAATATGTCTCGGATTCCGCATTCACTTATTCAGATCAATAAATGGAGGAATTCCTTATAAAGTGGGAGGAAGTTATAAAAACTGCTTTTACAGCCTCTCCTGAACGAGGGAGGACGCTTAATATAAGTCTGGAATGTGAGGGCTAATTTTACTGTCAGCAGAAACGCAGGTTCAGAGCGGAATCCATCACACTGCGGGTTCGTTTAATTAAAGGAAAACTAAATCTGTATTCATAACGCTCTAGTGTCCCTGCCCCTTTTTCAGGTCTGGCTTGCCATAAAAATGTTAAAAAATGAAGATTGTCTTACCTTACTTACCTTTTTTATGTTATTATCTCTCCACCTCCTGTGACGTGCCTCCTCTGCCACTTCCAATGCAATGATCTTCCTAGAGAAGCACTGGG